CAATAGACAAGAATGAGACAAGTCACCTTTTTTTTTTTTTTTTGAGCCAATGTTCATTAGTATAATTCTATAATCATCAAAATTAGTAGGATATAAACAAAAGTACATTTCCATTGCCAATTTGTAAAATTCAAGGTACAATATATTTTTATTCTATGGTAGGCAAATTTAACACTTGATTTCTCATTACAAATTTCATCATCATGGCAAATGATATTGGAACTACACAAGAGACAACAATTACACCTAGTTTGCCAAAAGCCTTCTTGTTGTCAACATTTTTCATAAGGGCATCTGTTTTCTTGTCTAAACTATTGATTGCCTCTAAATGCTTATCCATATTCGACATTTTCTGCTTCATGCCTCCAAACTTATCCTAAAAAAACATAACCATACTCACCATTTTCTACTCCATGCTACCAAAATTATTCTGCAAATCTTTCTTCAAACTTTCTATTTTTTCTCCCATAACAACCATTTTGTTCACCGAACTAACAAACTCATCTTCCAAATTTTTTTCCACACCCACTAAATTCTTCTCCAAACAATGAATTTGATCCTGCAAACCCAGCACTATAGTCTTCTATTCTAATGCTATAATTGCAGATTTTGGAATACAGTTATCTTTTTTGCTTAACATAGATACCTCAGTCCACAAATGATCCCTCTCATGCATTAGAGTGTACTTTTCTAAGGTTAATTGTTGTATAACTTTAGTTGCCCTCTTATCGAACATAGGGTCATACCAAATAAAGAAATCACAATTTTTCTGCAAAATTAATTCAAATATTTATGGTAAATACAACCCACAACCTAAATCAAATCAAAATCAAAGTTAACTACAATGATTACCTTCTCCTTATACTTTGGGCAACCAAAAAAACTTCTTCCACCATTAGCTTCCGTCTAGAAAGTCCATTGTGGAGCAAAATGCCCACACTTGCAAGTCCATGAAGGTCCTTCATGCTTCCACTCAATATTCCATCTATCCTCAAAATATGGCAATGTGATTGACGATTGACAATTTGACAAAGAAGCCATGCTTGATGAATTACAATTCTTGCTAATAAAAAGTTTGACTTTTGACAAGAAGAAGACAAGAAGAAGATATGAAGAAGAAAGGAAAAAGATAATAAGAGGCTGCAACCGAAACAACCCTAGATCCCCAATTATATTTCACCAAACAATTAAGGGCATAAAAGTAAATGAGACCTTTGATGACAATTTGTCCAACAAAGCCTCTAACAAAGCGTCCATCTTAGCAAAAAAAAATAAAAAATCCAGGTTAGACACAGGGTAGGGGTCGATGAATTGGACATTAAGATCAAACGGAATGTTGATGTCATGTTAAACAGAAGGGCTGATTTACCACCAAAGACGAGTTGAGGGGTTAGTTTGCGAGTGAACTGAGTTAAGGGGTTAATTTGCTACCAGTTGATGAGTTGAGGGGCTAATTTGCATTTTTTGCCTTAAAAATCAACAATGCTTGAACCTAATCATTCCCATCCGTTCCCTTTATGGAGG